GGGATTTTTGTTTATGCCAATGAAATTTTATGGGATGTCCTTTAAAAAAAAAAACACATCTGATCACACCTTTATATAACCACGTTTACCATTACAGCATGATGACGAATTTGATACATCCTTTATCCATAGCAACGCACGGAGTGGCCAGTAGAATCTAAAAAGGCAATTAGTTTTGAACCGTCTCAATCATAGTAGCAAGTCTGTCTAATTTCTTCTTAATCTCTGGTTTCTGGGCAAACGCTACATTTACTCATGATCATAGTCATAGCATTTATAATAGATCTTGGTACTTATAATTACATCGTTTTAATTGAACGCCACGAAAACGACCGAGTAGGCTCGAGCAAATTAAAAGAAGTTTGATGTAAACCTATTACCTATGTTCCCATTGACTATGCTCTTAATTTGGCACCAAGTATTGTTAGTATATACGATTACCCTAATTCCCAAGATCATGTACACAATAGTAGTACCTCAAAGCCTCAAACAACTAGGACAAATAAATAAGGGTTTTTTTTTTCTCGCCATTACAATTTTCCAACCTTTGAAAAACGCCATTACAATTCATGTTATTGTAAATTTGCCATTACAATTCTGCTTGTCCCTCACCCTTGCCCTTTTCTACGTCTGGAACGTACCTGGACCCACTTGCAGGCGTCGTATTTGTGTACTGCCCCGTATTGCCCCTGGTTAAGTGGATAAGGCACTAAGGATTGAAGCTGGTGTTCCTTTCTTCTCTCTACTCCAGTTCTTCTGTCCAACGAACCCTAACCACGTTCTGGCGGCGGCGATTTGGAGGCGTCGGCGGCGATTGAGGCGTCAGCTTGCGACTGGAGGCGACGGCGACAAATCCTAACCAGCGTGCGTCCGGTGGGGGCGATGGAGGCAGCCTGATGGCGTCGGCGGATTCGGGCACGCCGCGCGCTGGTGCGGCTGCGATGGAGAACACCGCCACCAGGTACCCTTTCCTCTTGCTTTGCCTTTGTTGTGGTCATCACAGTATGGGATTAGGCTTGATTTGTGTGGTGGCATCGATGTATCGTGCATGTATACACTTTGATTTGGGGTTCGATTTACTGCATGGCAGGGATGGCATGTTTTCGGTAGAGTTTAAAGTGGAAGGATTTGCGTCCAAAGACACGGCTGGTAGGAAATCATATACAAAAGGCCATACATTTAAGTGGAATGTGGAGTATGGGTCCATGACACTTGACTTGCTGCTGAAATTTCTGGCAATTGAATTGAATCTAAGTAGTAACCAGACACCAACAGTTTGGTTCTTTGACAAAAGATTGAATGAGGATGCCAGATTAGTTAATGAGATACAAATGCTTGATTTGTTTGAAATGTACAAGGAGGAGATGAGCTGCCAGGTTGTAGTAGGTGTTTTTGATAGGGCAATTTGTGTGGAAGATGAATTTGACGCACTGGAGCCTCTCTATGTGGTTTCTGCTGATGATGCAAATGTTCAGTTAGAGGCACATAGAGATCCTGATAGACAAGTAGAGGCAGCTGCTAACATGCCTAAAGAACCCAATAGTGCTGCTCCTGAGAATCCAGAGGTAGCTGCTGACATAGAGCCAGATAGGACTAGTATTATGTTCAGATGCCTGTAAAGGATTAGAGAAAGCTGTAGGGACTGTTTTCCCACAAGCTGAAAACAGGGAGTGCATGAGACACATGCACAACAACTTCATGAAACACTACTCAGGAGATGTTTTCACTGATCATCTGTACCCTGCAGTTAGGAGCTACATAGATTATATGTTTAAGTGGCACATGAAGAAATTTTTTGTGTATGCTCCAGAGGCAATTGACTACCTTCAAGAGCATCATGGTAGGATATAGTATAGATGTGGCTTTGCTGAGGATAGCAAATGTGACTATTTAACTAATAATGTGTCTGAGAGTTTCAATGCTCAGATCAAGCACTTGAAAGGCCTTCATCTCCATGAGTTAGTTGATATGATAAGAGAGCTGATAATGAAGAAAAGGTACATTAGAAAGAAGCTTGGACAGCAATGTCAAGAAGGGATCCTACCAAGTGTTATGAAGGATTTGAATCTTATTAGCAACAATCTAAAGGTTGTCAAGGTGAAAGTTAGTGATGAGGATTTTGCAGAGGTCACACTGCTCGATGAATGGAATAACCAGATGAAGCATACGGTGGATCTAAAAAATCAAAATTGCTCATGCAGGGAATGGCAGATAACTGGCAAGCCATGCAAGCATGCCTTGGCATGGATACTGTCCAACAGAGGTATGCAGATAGCTGACTTTGTGCATGAGTATTACTCGGTTGCTAGGTTCAGAGCAGCCTATGAAGGAAGAGTTAAACCAATGACGGATAGGTCCCAGTGGCCAGAAGTTAATCTTGGGTTCAAGGTTTACCCACCTTTGCTGGGAAGAGCACCAGGTCGGCCAAAGGTGCAAAGGCAAAGGGGTTGTCTAGAGAAAAATGCCAACAAAAAGAAAGTGCGATGCAAATGGTGTGGAGGTTTTGGACACTTCGCGAAGACATACAAGCTTGACATGGTTGGAGAAGATGATGAAACTGCTACAAAGAAGGGGAAAAGGTTAACTTTAGTTTAAATTATTTTATGTTATCTGTACTTTCAATTATTCACTATTATTTACTGAAAAATTGCATGTACAGGAAGCGGACAGAGTGCGCAGGTGATGATGCTGGACCATCCAAGGGGAAGAAAAAGAAGACAGCGAAGAAGAAAACTCCTAAGAACAAAAAAAAACCTTGAAGAAGAAGCAAAAGAAGGATGCAGCTGCTCCTCCAGCAAAGGTTGTCAGGAACCTGAAGGGCCTATTTTCTGATGGTGCATTTCAAGCTATTTTGTGACCTTTCTTTTGCCTTTTGTAATATAATGGCATTGAACTGTGAAGGTAGATGCCTGTTGTTGCACTGAACTATGTGTGATCTAGATACCTGTGATGGCACTGAACTACAAACTAGATGTCTGTGATGACCTATTTTGCGGATGCATGTGATGTCATCTAAACTGTGAACTGGAATGCTGAAATGCTTGTAAGCTGGGTATTTTTTGGATGTAGTGCTTCAAAACTTGAACAAGCTATGAATTAATGCTATTCTCAGAAGTGCTATTGTCTCAGTGATGCTACTGTGAGTTATTGATATATTTTAATAATGCTATTGTCCTATTAATTATCCCAACAATGCTTCTGTCTTGCTGAAATACATGTGTCAAACTGAAGGACTCTCAATCTGAATTTCCATACATACATTTTCAAACTGAAAGCAGCTATCACAGAATACATTTCAGACATTTTCAAACTGAAAGCACACAAACTGAAAGCAGCTATTACAGAATACATTTTAGTTTCAGTCTGGCTACTGGCATACATCAGCTGACCAACAAAAGCAACACACATACTGCTTTTAAATCCTACATTCGACACCACTGGCTACTTCCATATTTTGCTCATAAGACAACCAATAGCTACACTTACACACACTGCTGCAATAATAACGTAGTCCTTCTTCACAACCTGTACTTGCACCTTCAGCTCCCACAGATCCATCACAGCACTGTCAAGTTTTGCCTTCACTACCTCCAAATCTTGCTTCAGGTCCAAACTGAGGTCCATAGACCCATTTCCATCATCTACTGAATTGAATGGGATCACCTTCTTCGACCGAATTGGGTGCTACTCTGGGTTGCGTAGGTAAGCTTCATAATGCGCCTCGGACACGATGATAGGACATGTAGTTGAGTCATCCTGCATCACATGAAACCATAGCCTCATGAACACCATCCAAAATTGAACAAAATAAATTGACTTACTTTGATGTTGTTTGGACACTTGAAGAAGGTCTTGCCGTACGTATCCCACCGCTTGCTTGTGATACGTACTAACTGAATGTGGCACTTTGGGCAGTCCACGAGCGGGAACAACGCTGGGCTCTGGATGGCTGCCGAGCTGGAGCATGCCGCTGCCCCTCCCTTAAATTGGCTGCCACTCATCTGGGAAATAGCAGGCGACAAAGGCACATGACAAAAGCAGGCGGGCGTCAGTCGCGGGCAAAGCACGGCGACGCGCGGCAATGGTGTGCGCGAGAAAAGGGAGAAGAATGGGGGCACCTCTGTTTGTCTCCTGCCAAAGCCGATGTCAACGACCCGGAGCCAGAGCCTACGTCGCCAATTGTCGCGCGGCCACCTCCAATCGCCGCACGGCGAGGGGAAGAACACGGGAGGGACAGAGAAGAACGGTGAGAACGCCAGCTTCAATCCTCAGTGCCTTATCCACTTAACCAGGGGCAATACGGGGCAGTACACAAATACGACGCCTGCAAGTGGGCCCAGGTACGTTCCAGGCGTAGAAAAGGGCAAGGGTGAGGGACAAGCAGAATTGTAATGGCAAATTTACAATAACGAGAATTGTAATGACGTTTTTCAAATGTTGAAAAATTGTAATGGCGAGAAAAAAAACCCAATAAATAAATTCTTCCTATGACACCTGGAACCGAGTACATGGCTGGCTGAATGTGAGCATTGTACGTGCTGAATGGTCTCAAATCAAAATTCCACAAACTCGAAGACATCAAGCAAAGCAAAGAATTCTACCCGCGTGCGTCGTGTTCTCGTTCTGGCGGCGACGGCGAGGCATAATAGCAGGCGAACCTCACAAACCAAAACTGCCAAACCCTGCCAAGAAGGCAAGAACACCCACCCACTGCTTCTTCCCTCTCTCTCTCTCTCTCTCTCTCTCGCTCTCTGCTCTCGCCAGAGCCAGACCAAACCTGACCAAGACCAACCCACCCACTGGACCGGACCGTGCCCCGCTTGGTCCAGCGCCGGCCCTGCCCTGCCTTCAGGCTCCCTCCCGCGATCCGCTGCTCTTGAGCTCGACGGGACGGAATCCCGGGGGACAGGGGAGAAGGGGAGGGAGAACAGCAGCCCGCCGCGGAGGGCCAAGAACCCGACCGGAGGGAGGCAGGGAGGAGTTGAGCGTGCGGCGGAGAGATGGGGCAGGCCCTGCGCAGGCTCTTCGATTCCTTCTTCTCCACCAGGGAGATGAGGGTACGTAATGATACCATCTTGCCCCTCTCCCTCCTCTACCTGCGGTTCCTTCCTTCGATTCGATTCGGTTGCTTGCTCCGCCCGTCTCTTTGCTCAAGTAGGCTGCTCGTTCTGGCAACTCCTAGGCTTGTGTTCTAGTTTCTCTCTGGGTTGAAAGAAGGGCATGGTTTAGGCCCGCCTGCTCCTCGAGTGGCTCGGCTCGTCTGGAAATGTGAGGAACGTTGCTTCCGCCCGGTACTGCGCGAGGATTCGGGCGTGTGGGTTGGCGTGGCTTACTTGCTGATGCGATGTTCCGTTGCTAGAGGTAGAGCTTCGATCTTGGTTCTGTACTGGGAGTGACATGTGAGTACTGAGTATGTGACCAGGGATCCATTGTTACGGTTTAATCATTCCAGGGCTTTTAAGTTAGGATTCTACTGTTGATTCCAGGGCTCTTTAAGTTCAGTTATTAACTTGTGCCATGCAGAAGCCTATTGAATTCCCAATTCAGTGCTTGGTCACTCTATCGTCCTTCTCTCTCTCTCTCTAAATAATACTAAATCACCCTTGTGGTGAATTGCGAATTTTTAGATCAAGTGGATGGAGGTAGCAATCAAGGAATTGGCTGTAGATGGGTCTACTGGGTACTGCTTTCTAACCAGCTGATTTTGAGATGAAAAATGAGTTACCAACTAGCATTCTAGTGATTCTAGCTAAAAATATAGATGTTCGATATCCTCCTTAAGCTAACTAACACTAACCACTCCGCCAACTTTTCTTTGTCATTTTTTTACAAGAGAAACATCTCTGGTTATAGTAAATACTCTTCCTTTATTCATCCTATCATCCTCCATCAGTTCCAGTTTGTCTTTTTTATCAATGCTTATCTAAGTCTGTCACTAATCGTGTCATTATCCTCTTCAAGGTTGTGATGCTTGGTCTCGATGCAGCTGGTAAAACAACTATACTGTACAGGCTGCACATGGGAGAGGTTCTTTCAACAGTCCCTACAGTCGGTACGTGGCCCATATCATTATTTATTTACTTACCATTTATCTCCAATGCTGAATGATTGCAGCATGCATGCAGTTTTATTCTATAAACTGATACTCTTATTTGTTTATTATGTGTGTTGCCAAATAAAATATCGAACCAAAACTTTTTTTTTTGCTGAAACCCTTTGTGTGATTTGTCTGCGGAGTACAGAATAAAAAAAGAAGGCAACAATAGGAAACCATGATCATCAACATTTGGTTCAAATAGTGGGATAATGCGTGCTTCAAAGGCATAATCTGATCTTAATTGGTATCGATTCAGAAACATTTGTGTATGTTGCATCTGATGGTTCAAAAAATGACTTTCTTCAAAGCATTCTTCTTCCAATCTTGATTTGGAAATTCATGATGATATAAATGTGGAAGCTGAATAGTTGGAAGCTGGGAAATGTATTGATGATATAACTTGAACGCTTCGGATGAGTAGACATTTTCAGTCAGGCTTGTAATATGATTTTTTTTTCATATTTTGAATTTTAGTTTCCTTGTTATTGCAGTTGCAGTTATGAACAATTTCTTCTAGATTATGTTACTTGACACAACTTTACATGATTAAATGGAGCTATACAGAAACTTCATGCATAACATAATGCTCTGGAGTCTGGATTGACCTTGTTGCTAGCCTCATTTCTCCATCCAATGACTACCTCTGGTAACATAATTTTCATGCTTCCTGCAGGTTTTAATGTTGAGAAGGTTCAGTATAAGAATGTGGTATTCACTGTGTGGGATGTGGGTGGGCAAGAAAAACTCAGGTCACTGTGGAAGATGTACCTGAGTAACTCTGATGCACTGGTAATAACTATTACTTGCAAGTCTATAGACACATGAGTAGCTTCCCATTATGTCTCTTTGGTACTTTTGCCGCTCTTGTCTTTCTCAACTCTTGATATGGTGTTAACTTTGTGCATTGTTCTTCTTCAATTGTAGTTAATATCCACATCACAGCCTATATGTATTCCCTCAAGTCGAAGCACATTTTGAAATTTTTGGATGGGTAGCTTAGTAAATTGGTGTGCAGAATAGTATAAGTGAAAGGCATTTAGTCTTCTTGCTAAGTTTGTGTTTCAGCTTTTGGTTTGTTGCAGATCTATGTCGTTGATTCTTTGGATAGAGAAAGGATTAGAGATGCGAGGCAAGAATTCCAGGTAAGATAGTCATACGACCTCCAACAGTACAAGATTTACTGGCCCCTTAGATTATGTCTGTTGATGATATGATGTTATGCATCCTTTTCTCCTTCCAGACCATTATCAAGGACCCTTTGATGGCAAACAGCATAATCTTGGTATTCGCAAACAAACAGGATCTGGTAAGTTAAACCAAGAGTTTGGAGGCGCTAAGGGCTACCTGTGTAATATTTTATGACCTTATTCACATGCGGCTGTTTATTTATTTATGTTTTGAAGTACCCTCCTTATAATGAGTAGTTATCACATGTTCTTTTTTATTATTATTTCAGTTTATATTGTGTGCCACATACCACATTAAATTATTTTGCATGGTTATGAGGTATCCAATGTCTTCTTTATTGATTACAGATGAGCTTTCTGTAGGATAAATTTACCTTACAGAAACAAAATTTACTCTGTCCATATTAACAAGATGCCAAGATATCAGAGCATTTATACTTAAAAAACCAACAAATGTAAAGACCTTCCTGTGTAGGAACTCTTGAGACTATTGGTGCTCTCATGGAACTTTTTAGAATACCAAAAATATTTCTTCGAAATTCAGTATGGCTAATTGATAACCAGGAAGTTTAGAACTGCTATGTTGTTAATGACTTCAGATTTATTATGGAAGGTTCAAGTGAGCAGCGATCGAGCGATGCTTTCAGACTGATATCTTTCTCTTGCTCACACAGAGAGGTGCGATGAGCACGGATGAGGTTAGCGAAGGACTGGGGATGCATGATCTCAGGAACAGAATATGGCACATACAGGGGACCTGCGCACTCCGTGGTGAGGGCCTATACGACGGGCTCGACTGGCTTGCATCCACTCTGAAGCAGTTGCAAGAATCGGGTCATGCAACTTCAGTTGCTGGTCCTTCCATCTAATCCAGTGGAAGGTTCTGTATCATTCTGAGCACACAATTGAACCCCCTTTTCTCTTTGCATTAGTATATGGGATGAACATGAACCTCGATCATTCAGGGACCATTTTCCTTTGCTTGCCCGGCATAACTTCTTTCAGTTCTCTCAGAATGTACGATGTCAGCGCTTCAACCCATTCTAAAATGCATGTTCCGCAAGCCCACAAGAATATGCTCCAGCGCAATCATTCCTTGGTGTGGCTGCCCGCTGATGGAGTTCCTTTGTGTTGGTATCATATGAGCCAGTTCATCCGGCAGGAACTCGCACACTTTTCTCCTGAGATTGTTTGTAAATTGTTGAACGAATGTATGCCGATCTTGTGTGTATACTTGAGAGCTGGTACACGTGGTTGTTTTGTTTGTTGTTTGACTGCTTTACAATAAAAGTGATCGTCTGTGATTGCGGTGATTACAAGCTTTGTCGAGTGCTCACAACTTAAGAATATATTGCAATTGTTTTCTCCTGTGCTGCTGGAAATTTCGGAAATTTCTTGTATGTCGTTCAGGTCTCAGTGAAACGTGGGCCCAGCAGTTGCATATAATGGATGGATGTGTCACGTGTGTGAATTTTCAGTAGTATAGAAAAACAATCTCCAAGAATAGAAGGATAAACACATCCCATTTTCCAGATGATGGATACAGCATTTTCGTGGATTGGCTTGTTAACAATATATGTTTAATGCTAAGTTTCCTTTTTGGCATGGGGAGAGAAAAGGCAGAAAAAAAAGAGATTTGGTTGTTAACAATGCGTGCAATGCTAAGATTCCTTTTGGCATGGATGGTGGCATGGGGAGAGAAAAGGCAGAAAAAAAAAAGATTTGGTTGTTAACAATGCGTGCAATGCTAAGATTCCTTTTGGCATGGATGGTGGCATGGGGAGAGAAAAGGCAGAAAAAAAAGAGATTTGGTTGCTAACAATGCGTGCAAAGCTACAAAAGAGACGAAAAGATTCCTGTTCGTTGGTCGGTGCTGGTGTTGATTTTTTTTTTTGAGAAAAACACTATTGACTGATTGAATAAAACCAACTAGCGAACAGGAACAGGGTGGACGACTGAGAGATTCGAACTCTCGCGGGGAAACCCCATGTACTTAGGCAGGCACACGCCTTAACCACTCGGCCAAAGCGTCGTTGTTGAAGTCATGGAACACAAACCATATTTATAGTGTTTATTTTCTTCCCCTATCAAACCGTTCCACATTTGTACACGTACACGTTCAGACAACAAAATCGCGTCTTGCACTGCACCCACCCAGATGCCCAGGCCAAGCCTAGTAACAGTTGGCTGCTACAGGAAAAAAAAAAAACATATGTGCATTGAGCATTGAGGACCACGAGCAGATCCCGTGCACATCTCAGCTCGGCCCGGTATCTACCCTATCTTTTCACCCCTGGCTTTTCGTTACTGGGTATACAGCAGTAGCCGTAGCACATGATACACTTGCTCACAAGAACGACTATCTGGCAGGGACAACCAGACAAGGCATAAAAATGAGCACATGTCAGACTGATAGGTTTTGCCGGGGCTTTCCCCACGTGTTAATCAGGTCTGGTCTGGAGGCAGTCTGGTCTAGGCTACAACGTATCCAAAATATTTGTACGCACATCAAATGCACAGGACGAACACGGAATGTGACTGAACCATCATGGCGAGAAGCAGATCAGCAGAAGGCTGCCCGGTGACCCGCATCATGAGCACACTGCACCAGGGACGGGGGGATGCGATGCTTCATTGCCCTTGCTCCCTCCAGATGCGGCCGGTGACCCGCAGCTTGAGCTCCTGCCTGCCGCCACCTGAGAAGAAGAGTGCCATGTTCCTGTGGATGATGAGCCCGTCGAAGCTGTCCCGCACCTTCCGGTGGCTGTCCCTGATGCTCCGCGGCGTGCCCTGCCACGTCAGCTTCCGCCCACCCCCGCCCACCTCCAGGCTGTACCCGAACCCCTGCGCCTCGCTCTCCTCGCCCATGAACCGCAGGAACGCCATGTACACTGGCGCCATCCCCAGTAGGAACGCCTCGAAGTGCAGGCAGAAGTGCTGCCCAAAACACTTGAAAACCTGCATGCATAAAACACAAGGGGGGTGAAATACTGAAATGGCAGACTCACATAGCCTGATGATGCTTATGATACAGTCATCACAGGTCAGAAAAGAATGGATGGGCTCAAAACAGATCTGATCACATTCAAAATACAAGACATCTCAGAAGTAGGTCTAGTTAGGCAAATACTATGAAGTCACTACTCAATGCATATGCTGAATTGCTGACCATACAGATAATCCAGATTACATAACCTGGAATGTTTCCCATGTATCAGTAATAAACGCTTGAGTACTTAAACATGAACAGAGTGTCATTTTACTTACAGTGAGCATCCATGTAGCATTTTCCACTTCGTAAGGGTTGGGCTTCACATATCGGTGGTTAAATGTGCAGCCCTCATGCAAGTCCACCTTATGGTCATTGATGAGATGAGACACCAGAAACGGAACATCACCTGTGATCAGACACTCTGAACCTGCGTATGGACAGTTGTATGGCCTGAACCTGCAGAGCTCCTCGTGCTTGAGTTTGTTCTTGTATGGGTGAATCTCAGTGCATCCCATACTCTGGTATTTGCATGGAAGCTGGAGTTGTTCTGCCACCTTCTCAAGTGCTAAGCACCTGATGTTTCCCAGTTCCTGGCGACAAGTTGGGCAATGGTTCTCTACCCTGTGCTTGCAACTAGAGCAGATTGTGTGGCCATTAGGGCACTGCAGAAAAAAGGAACCAGAAGATTATTACCATTCTCATTTCCTGAATTCATTTATGTAACTCTAATCATTGCAACTAAAGTTGTTGTTCAAATTACATGATATAAATCCTGAAGCAATACAAATACCATCACTATTCAAGTAACACAATTAGCTTGCAAATCATTTAATTATTCTTATGAAAAAAATGTGTAGAAACAACACCTGAACTTAGGAATTGTGATTATAATAAAGTCAACCTTTTATTTGGAACAATAAAGATAGCTCTTTGACAAAAAATGCAGAACAAGGATACAATAAACATAACCATGGACAATACACAATAGTATGTGTGTCTAGAGAGAGGGAGAGATAGCAGACTAGAAAAAACTTGAAAGTGTTCCAATGCAATTGCAAGCTATAAAAGCTTTAAACTTGCTGATGGTCATGACCATGCCAAATTCTAAGAAAGCGGAGATATAAACTGATAAACATGGGCTCCAACACTATGCATGCACTGATATAAACATACAGAGGAAACAAATGACTGATCCCTTCATTGCTGCTCTTTCATTAACATTAGGAAGTTCTAGATTATTTTGATGTGAGGGAGTCCATAATTGTAATGGACAACATGACAGATGCGATGCGAAGATGAAACAGACTTGATCCATGTGGATCCCAGAGAACTTATCGTCGATTACAATGTGACAATAGAAAAAATGTTACACTAGGATTTTAACAGAACAAAAGTTCAACAACTTGAGATCAATGGGCAAACCTAGATACCTTAAGGTGGTGCAAATGCAGCATATGTACCATAGAACCCAGTCAACCCACCTTCTATACTAACTCAATCCACATATCTAATAGGCATTGTAAGCTAACATCACTTTCTTAGCATACAGACTCAAACATGCAAAGTTGCATACTGCAATTACCAAAGTAAACCTTTTATGCTAACTCAATCTACATATCTAATAGGCAATGTAAGCTAACAGCATTTTCTTTGCATACAAACTCAAACAAGCAAAGATGCATACTGTAATTATCAAAGCACCTCCTTTTGCCAACAAAATAAAAAGAGAAGATATGTCTAAGCACACAAACCTGGAGTATAAGTGGGATGAAAGGAGCATCTCTTTGTGAAAGTACACACTGGACACTTGAATGCAAATCATTCAAGCCAGACAGCGATGACAATGCAACATTGGCTAGTGATGTCAAAGAATCACGGTTTAAAAGGATGAGTCTAAGACGATGGGAGCCTGATACCCCAATCGAGTGGCTCAGAATAGCCCATCGTCATCTCCACAGTCCGACTCAGGGACTACTGTCACAATGCTGCTTCCAAAGTTGCCATTGTTAAGTTGATGAGCTCCTTTCAGGTTCGGAAGTAGCACAAAACATCAGCACCCCACCACTCCATTGCTTTCCTGCTAATCACACCAAATTTTAGCATCAAAGGAGACATGCAATCTAAGCACAACAGAATTAACATCCTGCACAGGTTGATTCTGATGTTCAGTTTATCAGGGTCACATAAAAAATGGATAATTCCTCAGAAGTCAGAACCATGAATGAAAGGGATAAAATCTGTTGGCACCGACTGAAGCGTCCGAATCCAACTTGACGCAAGCTACTGATGAGCAAACTACATTCAGATCTCAGAACTCAAGGAGAACCACCCATTCCAGTGACTCTCATGCCTCATCCATGACCATGAACCTTGGCAGTTTCCTAACTCGAATTTGCCACTACGGGTAACCCAACCAACTTCGCCCGATGTATAGTACATTTAATCGAGGACAGGTGCAGGAGGGGCGGACCCAACCCGATAATTTTTGGCCAAGAAATTCGAAGTCTGTAGGCGTATACATGTATACTGCACTTGAAATTGGGTCAGATTTCAGATCCGAATTCAAAGAGGTTGGGTTTGGGTGCTCGGTTCCGCACAGCAAGAGCGGAAGAGAAAGGGATGGGCGTACCTGGTGGGTGCTCGTCGCCGGCGAAGGTCGCGAAGAGGGAAACCTGGGCACCAGGGCGTTGGGCGGCGGCGGCCGAGCAGTCGTCGGCACTGAGCGCACGCGAGGGGGACGGGAGAACCACCGAGAGAGAGAATGCCGGGGGATAAAGGTTGTTCGGCCGTACGGGCCACCTCAGTAGTCAGTAGTCACTACTGTAGTAGTCAGTACTGGGCCCTCTTTAGCTGCATCCTAAAATACCAATTTTTTTT